AGGGCAGAGAAACTCCATGCATGGCGGGCACACCACAGTTCGATGCCAAAACGGCGTCAGAAAGTTCAAACAGCTCCAGTGCTCAAAAAGACACAGGGAATCAAAACCCACTCAGGCCCCGAGACCAGGTTCAAAACGCCTCCGCCGAGCCCCCGGCTCCCACCCTCGGGGGCCGGCCACAGAAGTCGGCTCGAAGGCCGAAAAAAAGTTTGTTGGGCCTGTCGAGCCCGCTTTTCGGAAAAGGGCCCGAGCTGCGAGGCGGAGCACCTACTCCTCGGCGGCCGCGTCCACGCCTTCGTCCCGCGACTGCCTTCGACGCGCCTCGCTGCAGAACTCGCGAAACACTCCTGCGAAGTCGTCGGCGGGGACGGCTCCATGGCGGCTCAAGTTGTGAGTGCGGTGCAACCCGTACACTCCGACTGCCCAGTTGGTGAGCTCGTCATCGGTCAGCCTGGGCCCCCCAAGGCGGAGAAAGCGAGCCAGCGCCTGCTCGCGCTCCATCGGCGGTTCCTGTAGCAGCGACCGAACGACCCGGCAGGAAGCGAAGTGACGAATCGAGTCTTGGTCGTGGCCACAACCAACATGGCAGCGCGTGGCGTGCCCAAATCCGGAGCCAGTGCACCACCCATTGCACCAGAGACGTAACACTGCCGCCCATACCCGCAGCTGGCACACAGCTCCAATCCGCCTCAATGTCTCCGCAGCAGGATCGACGCGAAGGCGGGGAAGAAGCGCCAACGGCCAGTGCTGTAGCTTCCTTGTCAGCAGCGCTCGGAACTGAACTGCGCCCCCGGCGAAGGGCGCACATCTGCGCAGAGCTACAAGGCCGCGTGCTTCTGCCACCCCAGCTGCTTGCGCCATTTCGGGTTGTCACGGCCCCCGACTCTGAGCACCTGAACGCGCCGGTGTGCCTCCTGACTGGCAGGGATACAAGCAGCTCGTTTCCAGAGTGTCACAAGCAAATCTGGCCAGCGAAGCGCCCACCGGGCACTCCAGGGCGGCCATCGCCTGGGCCCTCCGGGAGATATCCAAACTCCCACCAGCCTCATACTGAACCACTCGCGCCTTCGCCGCCACCATGGTCGACTCCACGTCCGTGAGGCTCGCGGGGAAGCCGAAATGTCCGAGCTCCTGCAATGCCTCGGTGGTGATCCAATCACACGGGCCTGGGAAGAGGCGCCGCGCGGCCCTCGCAATGGCGTCGTGGAGGCCTTCGGGGGGGCGCTCCAGCTGGCCCACGAACAGCAGAACTGAGACCATGTAGACGCGGAAAGATTTCATGGTGAATTGGAGACCCGCGCCTAAACGCCCCCATTGTTCCGCCCGCGCCGCGAACTTGAGCAAGGGTCTGTCCCATGCCAGTTGCGCCTTTCCGGGCCCACAGTAGACGCCCAGAAACTTGGCCGCGCTGGCAATTGTCATCCCGTCCCACCCCGACGCGCGCCTGCGTAGCAGTGCCTTCGTGCGCTCTATCGCATCGGCACGATCACCGACTCCCCGACGTTGAAGTGCAACCAGGGAGGAAGGCGAACTCATCGAACAGCTGCTTCAAACGCTGTAGCTGCGGGCCTGCGTTCGCCAGCACCACCGCCAAGTCGTCTGCGAATGCGCGGTCGCAGGGCTGACGCATCGCGCGGCCGAGCTTCCTGAGGAACAAGTCCGAGCAAGCAGCATACAGCAAAGGCGTTAATGGGCAGCCTTGCCGAATCCCCCGAGTCGTCGTAAAGCCTCTGAACCTCGCTCCCGCCAATGAGATATCACAGTAATTGTTCGTGTAGAGGGCGCCAGTGAAGGTAAGCGGCCACGGCGGCCATCCCTAGTGCGTGAAGAAGGCCATGAAAAAGCTGTTGCTCGATCGAAGTGAAGGCCGCGGCATAGCCGAAGAAGAACGCCAGGCCGCCCGTCTCCAGAGCCGCGCAACGAAGCATCTCCTTTCCAATATCCACTATATTGCTGAGCATCGAGCGCCCTTGAATGAAGCCCCTCTGCTCCTCGGTGATGAGGGGCCCCGATGCCGGTTCAAGCAGCCACCGGCACACACTGGCCAAGAGCCTGTTGTCTGTGTTGGTGATGCTGAGCGGCCGCACACCGCCAACGGCGTAGAGCGCTGCCCCGTCCTCGGTTTCCCCGCTGGGTTGCTTCGGGAGGAAGATCAGCAGGCTAGCGTTGAAGTCCGGCCAAAGCTCACGCAGCGCCTCGGTGTCATTCTGGTCGCAGATCTGCTGGACGCTCTCGTACAGCACATCGATGGACAGATCCCCAAGTTTGCGCCATGCTGCGTATGGAATGCCGTCGGGACCGGGGGCGGAGTTGTTCGACTGTCGCAGTGCGCGCTGAATGTGACGTCGCTGAAACCGTAATTCCTGAAGTTGCTGGTGCGAGGGGCCGCGCGCAGCTCGGTGGAGCCCATCATCCAGCAGCCACTCCTGCAACAACTCTTCGCTAATCCCGCGAGTGGTGAAGACCTTGCCCCAGTGTTCCCCCAGCGCCTGCGCCATCG